TCGGCTCGGCTCGGCTCGGTCTCGCTATGGAGACGACCCCAACCGGTCTTAGCCACACGCACGGCTCCCATACAATCGGTATTACCACCACGACCGGCATCCATTCACGGTATTGCCCGTTCATGAGAATTCCGTGGAGATTTCTTCGAGTCGACGGAGCAAAGGGTCAACTCGAGCCAGCTTTCCGATCATAATTTTTCTTCCGCGTAAACACGGTCGCGTGCCTCGTTCGCGCGTTACGTTCGGATTAGATTCGATACACGCGATACGTTCCGAACGTTTTTCTTTTTTTAACAAGCGAATGCATTCCGGAGTATCTTTTTCAATCCGACCCGCAAACGCGACAAAAATACCGATCGTTACCGAACAACGGCGCGAAAGTTTCATACGCGTAAGCCGATCGCGTGATAAAAATAGAAAAGCGATGTCGTTTCGCGCGTGTCGTCATCTAATTGGTGAGACAAGTATTAAGTCATTCGATTCGTTACACTTGAATCGCATCCCGCTTATATTCGACATTTTCCTTCGTCGACTTTATTTTACCGACTGTCTGGAGTACCTTCAGAAAAGATAACTCGGAGCAACAATCGGAGAAAAGACAGTTACCGAATTGGCGAGTTTCTTTGCCGGGGACAAGTTTGGTAGGAGGTCGTCGAGTCCGTGGTTGCTTCGTTGAATGCTCGCATGCCCCTTGGCTCGACGACGCCTACGAACCTCGAGGCGTCCCCGTTAATTTTGGATCACTTTCACCGCACCGCGATACGACGCTATACGTCACGGTGTTCGCCACTGGCAGCGTCGCGCGATTCAACCACTCGCCTTTCGACCACGAGTTTGCTTTTCTCCGTGCTAGATCATCTCGCGCCACCTTCGCCCTGCTTTTCTGCCTTCTTTAAAACACCCGAATCAATCTCAAGGATTCAAGCAACGCTTTCGTGAAATTTAATCCAACCTGGAACGTTACTAGACTCTCGACTAGTACGCTATGCCTCTCTCCTCGATGACGCGCCAATCGATTGCCTGCACTCTGTACGCGCTGCTCTTATGTTACGAATAAATTACTCGACGAGACTCGATCTTTTCCCGGAATGTTCGTTTCGTAGAAAGCGTTCAAGTTATCCGAAAATCCTGCGAGTCTCGTTAGAATTAGTCTCAAACGGTGTCATCGAATTAAGAAGGTAAGATTCAATATGCGCAGCGTATCGTGGCGAATTATCTAATCACGAATGCGGTAGCGTTAGGTTGCTAGGTTTATCCGATCGCGGTCGTAAGAAAATCGAGTGAAAGTGTACGTAAAATCAATCGTATAAAAGAGCCGATAAGAAGCTTGAGAATCGAACGAGCGCAGCGAGCGTCGTCTCGAGTGGTACGCGCGCGTTTCAGCCCACGTACGGCTCGTCTTTCGAGAGTTTCTCAGACCTTTGAACGTTTATGCGCGCATTGCGATCCTCCAGCAATTCGAATCGTTTCGTTATTAAACGCGGCGGTACAAAAAGTCTAATCGTGCCACTTCCGCTCCCTTATACGGTTAGTCCATAATGCAAAACTTTTCGAGCCACTGATCCGCGCGTACGACTCGTACACGAAATGCATTTGCCATCGAGAAAGATTCGGTAAAATTAATTTTGGAACATGGCAGAGTAAAGAAAAAGAAAATTATCGCCCAAGGTTGTCTCTCGCGAAAGCTCGGACTCGATGGACGCGCACGAAATTTTCCTATCGAGAAGCACGCACCGCGTACGTATAGCTTGTTACACGCGGTATAACGCGCTGGAACGCATTAACGGAATACTAAGCGCGCCGTAATACCTTCGCGTCGTTGATCAGGAATCGATCGACGTTCGCTCACGACCGGTCGAACAATCCTCGAATATAGACGTTCCACCTTGGACGGTGTATAATTTACGAGCGATCGACCGATATTCTTTTCTGTACGGTCGAGTCGGGTCGAGTCGAATCGAGTCGAGTCGAACATGGGACGGGTACGGGATAGCTATGGGATGGGTACGGGACGATACACGCGTGTGCGTGTCGAGATGCATCGAAGAGAGAGGAACGAAGACGGAGAAAAGGACACGCGGGGCGGTTCGGTCCGGGTTCATTCAAGACCAGCCAACGCCACGTGCCCGAGGCTCTCGACCCTCTAACTACGCCACTGATTTTTGCGATTTCCGCGGTGTTCTCGGTCGTTGTTGTTCCAAGAGGATTCCTTTGCGACGGAAGCAGAGTTTCCCGCCACCCCTCCGATCGAAGTAAACCAGGACGCGATCGCGGTGTTCTCGAGCGAGATCGATTCGAGCGTTGGAATCTCGCGAAGAGACCGGTCGAGGCACGCGCTAACTCCTAAACGTTCCACGAAGGAGAAGGGGGACGCGAAGTCGAAGAGAAAGGGAAGTCTCGAGAGGAAAGAAAGATAGACCCGCCGCATAGCTCGAATTAATTTAGCGACGCCAAGACCAACGCGCTGGTCCTTTATCGACTCGATCGGAGCCAGGCTAGTAATTAAGGAATTCCGAGAGCGATCGCAACCGTACAAGAAATAAATCGACTCGCGGGATTCCTCTGAACCGTCCCTACGAATCTACCGACGAACGTCCAGCGCGCGTTTCCGAGCGAAAACGGGTTATTTGTTGGATCTAGAAAAGTGTTACGTACAATTAGGATAGAATACCCGAGTCCAACGGTAAATCGTACTTGGATCGAATTCGAGAGGAGACGTTACTTTCGTGCACATAACTGCACGATTCGACGAAGAAAAACCGCGGTTAACCAATTTCCAGCGCTCGACGCGTGCGAGGAGTTACCGCGAAACCTCGAGATATCAATTGGAAAGTGGTACATCGCGCTTGAGATGCCTCTGGCTGGCATTCCGCGAGAGACTATCGAGCAAGCACGCGTGCACCTATCACCTATCTCGTTCCTCGCGACGCGAGCGTACGCGTTTCTGCGCCAACGACCGCTTTCGCGATCGCGCCCCTTTTCCTCGCGAATACATCCGCCTCGCGATCCTCTCGTTCCTCTCGCGACTCATTCCAGACGGATTACGCCAAAAAATTCTGCTCACGAATCGCTTGCTTATTACGCGCGACGCGTCCTGTCGTTATCTACGCGAAGACGCGTAGTTTTTGTTCGTCGACGCGACGCCAAAGTCCCGCGTCGTTAGACTTCGTTTCTTTCGAGCCGTAGGGAAAAAGCTCCGCGAAGGCTCCGCGACGAAGATTCCGCGAGCGTTTAGTCGGGGAGAACCCTTTCGTTTTGGAGCGCGTACGAACACACGTAGGCGTAGGTACGAGAGCGTTAGCGAGCAGCGTGTTTGGATACGGACAGGATGTGGGTCGCTAGCTCGAGTCTACGAAGCGGAGAGTCGCATACCACGCTTCATGCGTTCCTTATACGTTTACATATGATAGAGGCTCCTTTGCGCGACACCGCGCGCACAGACGGAAAGCCTAGAGAACGAGCAAACGGGACGGCGGGCGAGAGAGAAAGAGAGAGAGCGAGAGAGAGAGAGAGAAGTAATAAGAGAGAATGCGCGAAACAGTGAGGCCAGGAAGCGAGACAGAGAGAGAAAGGTTAAAGGAAGAAAGACGTCGCGTCGGAGAGAAGGAGAAACCGCGAGAACCGCGCCCTGCCCACGCCGAGTGCTCGACCTCGTGCTTTCAAACGCTTCGCTTCGCTTCGTAGATGAGCTACGTATATCTAATATCCACGGACGTTTCTTCTTACCAGCCTACAGTTTATCCGGTAATCGTTTTCGAACAGCCATTCGACGATCTGGGTCGTTCGACGAAGGAAATCGACTCACCTGTGTGTATTCGCTGGTGCGCCTTCAAGTGCGAACTCTTCGTGTAGACCTTCGTACAACCTGCAAAACGAAACAGTTACGAATACCGTCAGCCGTTGCTCCGATCAACATCGACGTCGTCGTTCTTATCGCGGTCGTCGCTTCTTAAAAACGTTTATCCCTTTTCAGATACCGAGAAAAATAGGTCTACGAACTGGAGCCCGGGCTCGCGAAGTCGATCAAAAGCGTACGACGCGACGCGACTCGGCGCAAGCTTCGAATTCACACTCACCTATGAAATCACAGTGGTGGACTCGTCGCTTCTCGAGCTCGGGATTGTTCCGTCTGTTGAATTTGGTGGAGATGGGTGGAGGTTGAATCCTGTGAGAAGGATTCATAATGGAAGGCTGAGGATAGGGTGGAGGCGGTGTCCGTCTCGGCGGAGCCCCTATCGGGGATCCAGGATCGGAAATTGGCGGCGTTAACGGGGAAATGTACATCAGCCTGGTCATCGAGCCGTAGATCGGCGAGGTCGCGGTGCCTCCGATCTGATTGCCGTGATTATTCGTCGAATCGTTGTTGCCGTTGTTGCTACCGTTATTACCGCCGTTGTTGTTGCTACCGTTATTATTGTTATTGTTACCGGGGTTATTGTTGTTGCCGCTGCCGTTGCTGTTCACGCCGATCGCGTTGTTATTGTTGCTGCTATTATTGTTGTTGGCGGTCGTATTGTTGTTGTTGTTATTATTGTTGTTATTGTTGTTGGCGCTATTGTTATCGTTGTTGTTGGGGGAGAAGGTTTTGTAGGCGGCGGTCGGCGTTCGATGGTGAACGACTCGAGGTCCCGTCGAGGCTGGAGGGTGACCGTTGACGTACGTTTGCACCGAATTCGAGGTAGGTCCTTCGAGAAGATGCAACGTCGGGGGTGGTGGCAACGGCTCGGTCTTGATCTCGACGGGGGACAGTACCGGAGACGCGACGTCGTCGGTTTCCATCTTGACGTGCGACTGCGAGGCCAACATGTCCGCGTTCTCCGGGTCCAACTTTTGTATGCTCGAAGTGATATCCTCCCAGAGCGGCGGCCTGAGGAACACGTCGTCGTCGTTGCTAGCCGGCTGACTCCTCGACGAGACGAAACTCGCCTGTGGTCGACACACCGGCCCTCCGACCTCGAAAAAATCCTCCATCTGCACCGAGGACTCCCTCGCGTCCTTCTCCGGGTCATCTTCGTCGAGCTTCTGCAGCCGATCGAGGTCCTGTCTGCACAGCAACGTGTCCAGTTCCGAGGTCTGCTGAAAATACAAGACGAGGGTGGTCGGAAAACCGAGTTCGTGCAACCTTTACCATTGGACGACCGCGATATCTCCGAGTTTGAACGCGTCAACGACCAACGAATTGAGCTCGATCTTGGAGGGGTTAGGGAGGCGCGCGACAACCCCTCGAAACGTCGAACACGAGGCACGGGGAAGGAGAGGACACGTTGAATCGAAGGTGTCGACGATGTAGGTTAAACGAGCGAACGGACAGGTAAGCGGAGGAACGAGTGACTTGCCGTATGCTGATTTACGAAAGGGTACACGACGCGTTGTTCTCGGTTGATATGCAACGAACGCATCGAGAGGGCCGTGCAACTCGAACTCTTCTACGCCCCACGCCTGCCGCGAGTGCCGCGCCAGTTCTACGATGCACATAACGAGAAGGTATAGCGGCAGCCGGAGGGAAAAGAAAGAAAGAAAGAAAGAAAGCAAGAAGGGTAGGAGGGAAGGATAGAAGAGACAGCACGGTTTCGTCCCGAAGCCGAAGATGGGAGGGAGCGGACCAGTGCCGCGTCATTCTTCGCATGATTTGTGCACGCGCAACGCCGCCCTCGTGTGCCGTGCTCTCTACGCTTTCGACGAATGCTCGTATTCTACGCGCAGACCGCGTTACATTCCGAATATTTTAACCGCTCCAACGCCTCTTTCACGCTTCTCTTCCCCTTTCGTACTTGCCCGCGAACCTTCTTCGTTCGTTCTTCTACAAATTCATGGAAAGCTCTCGTCCGTTTCTCTTTGGATCTATGATCGATTTCATGAATTTTCTGAAAGACTCCCGAATGTTTCGATCGATAGAGACCGTGCTGCAAGTACGAACTTTTTCGAGGACGGTTCGCGAGCCCGTTGTGCCGATCGAAGAATTTCGTGTTACTTCGAGGACTCCGTTACCGCGCGATTCGAAAGAAACGGTATGGAATACGTAGGATGAATTTTTAAACGGCGTTGTCGTCGATCGAAGCGGTTATCGATGCGTAGGAATTCCCGTCGCATCGCGGCGCATGCTGCTACGTTCGCTAACGACACGACCGTCGCGGACTCCGAGTCCGTCGGCGTTAACCGGATAAACGATCGCGCCGAAAGAACACTGGAGGATCCGACCGCGGAAACGATGATCGATGCACGATTCGATAGGGTACGATAGAAAAGAAATTTTCGAAAAGAGTCGATCGCGAAATTTTCCGTGATCGCTACCAAGCGTGAACGTGTTCGATGCGATGGAAAATGACGAGTCAATTAAAATTGAAAAAAAGAAATGAAAAAAACTCATTGGAAATTTTCGAACGATTCGGGCTCACAGTCCGACTGGATTATATAGCGATTTATGAATTATTTACACAATGAATTATTCATCGTCGGAAGATTGGTATACTCGCAACACTCGATCGTACCTGATATGCAATTTGAAAAGGAGCAGCACGGTTTCGTCCCGAAGCCGAAGATGGGAGGGAGCGGACCAGTGCCGCGTCATTCTTCGCATGATTTGTGCACGCGCAACGCCGCCCTCGTGTGCCGTGCTCTCTACGCTTTCGACGAATGCTCGTATTCTACGCGCAGACCGCGTTACATTCCGAATATTTTAACCGCTCCAACGCCTCTTTCACGCTTCTCTTCCCCTTTCGTACTTGCCCGCGAACCTTCTTCGTTCGTTCTTCTACAAATTCATGGAAAGCTCTCGTCCGTTTCTCTTTGGATCTATGATCGATTTCATGAATTTTCTGAAAGACTCCCGAATGTTTCGATCGATAGAGACCGTGCTGCAAGTACGAACTTTTTCGAGGACGGTTCGCGAGCCCGTTGTGCCGATCGAAGAATTTCGTGTTACTTCGAGGACTCCGTTACCGCGCGATTCGAAAGAAACGGTATGGAATACGTAGGATGAATTTTTAAACGGCGTTGTCGTCGATCGAAGCGGTTATCGATGCGTAGGAATTCCCGTCGCATCGCGGCGCATGCTGCTACGTTCGCTAACGACACGACCGTCGCGGACTCCGAGTCCGTCGGCGTTAACCGGATAAACGATCGCGCCGAAAGAACACTGGAGGATCCGACCGCGGAAACGATGATCGATGCACGATTCGATAGGGTACGATAGAAAAGAAATTTTCGAAAAGAGTCGATCGCGAAATTTTCCGTGATCGCTACCAAGCGTGAACGTGTTCGATGCGATGGAAAATGACGAGTCAATTAAAATTGAAAAAAAGAAATGAAAAAAACTCATTGGAAATTTTCGAACGATTCGGGCTCACAGTCCGACTGGATTATATAGCGATTTATGAATTATTTACACAATGAATTATTCATCGTCGGAAGATTGGTATACTCGCAACACTCGATCGTACCTGATATGCAATTTGAAAAGGAGTTTGTAGCGAGACACGATATGCGCGCTGCGCGCGAAACATTATATTTAAATGCCATATCGTCCCAAGCAGGATGGATGCGGTCCTCGGTACCCGCGTTCGTCGATAAAATAACCAACAACGATCGCGAACCGTTGCCTTTCGATCTTATCCTGACATTACGAACAACGAGAAAAAGATACGAGGAAAGGTCATCGTCACCCGATATCGGACAAACTTTTTAATGCCCGACGACTGAACAGCGTCGCATCCTTGAAATCGAAGGAAGTGGACGTCCAGCAAGAATGCTCGCTTCCGATAGTCTTCATCGTCCCCAACTGTTTCGCAGCGGAAACACACGGTCACTTACGCGTTCGCGGCCTCTTTCTTTCTCCGTTTAATTCGATTCGAGCGCGTCTTCCTCGAATCGTCGACGTTCTTCTCCCGCATCGCGATAATGATAGTGCGGAGCGCGAACAAAGTTCGTCCATCCGGCTATTAATGCGCGTAATCATAGAGTCAGGGTCGACGGTGTTAATAATGCGTTTTCGAATCTGTCAGAGCGAGAACGAACACCCACGCCGTCGATAGAGATTGTGCGACGTCATCGTGGCTGGCGAGCAAGATGAAAAACCTTTCCGATCGAGTTGCTTCGCGTTAGCGTTCGCTCGTGCCGTCGAACATTTTTTTATTCCGACCAATCGCGGCCTCGCGGACAGACGAACGTTCCGACTCTCGCGTTCCGCTCTCGTTTGCAAGAATGGCGCGATTAATCTCCTTCGCGAGAACGTTGAGAACGGACGACGAATTCGCGATATCCATGAATCGGTAAGTCGATCGTTGTCCATTTTAGATAACGAATGATTGCAACTTTTTTGATCGAGCTCGACAGAAAGAACGGGACGGAGAGAGAGAAGGCGAGGAGCTTTTAAATTCGCCGGAAACGTCATTTCGGTCTCCGAACGAGTCTCGGAGAACGAAGACGCGCGTCCTTCGGTGCTCGCGTCGTATATCATAATTATGGAAAGCGAATCGTTGGCTGAATTCAACGGCGATACGGAGACAGCTTTATCGTTCGGTCTATTTATCGGGTCTCGGGCCAAATGGGACAAGAAAGATGGATGAAAAGCTGTGGCAAGGAAAGCGGCCATACTGTACGCGGTAACGAAGCGTAGCGCGCAGAAGCGAGCTCGCCGAATCAATCTGGCGAGGCCACACCCTCTGACCTAAAGCCGTGTATTATCGCGATAAACGCGCGGCCAAATGTCAGCGGTGCTCGCTGTCAGCCATTTTTCTTCGAAGCTTTCGAATCCAGGACGCACGAGCTTCCGAAATCGTTCCGTCCGCCATCGTTTCATCCAAGCATCGCCGCGTCGCCACCCCTCGATCGATAGGTTTCCGGAAACCGCGGCGCAACCTTTTGTCGCATTTGACCAGCGGACGAGATCCGGTATTTTTAAAGAAATTTCTGGATTTATTCGCTTGAGGCGAAGAATCGAAAACTTTCGAAAGGAGAAACGCGTCACCGAAACTCTGAAAGGTGGAACGCAAAGTTGTACGAAAATAATGGCGACTATACAACGGTGTCGTTTCATGCGCGGCAAGCCGGTAATTTACTTAAATGATGGCGCGAGATGGGCGACGCCTGTGGCCTGAACCAACTGCTCGAGAAGAAGAGGAGGAGGAGGAAGAAGAAGAAGAAGAAGAAAGTTTCGAGGCGAAGGCGAAAAGAAAGAAACGGAGGAGGAGGCGTGGCACAATCAAGGATTAAGTTCAGATGCAAATTTGGGTTTCTCGAGAACGTCACTGGCCCGGTGATTCTTCCCTCGAAAATCGATCAACTTGTTGGCACTCGACGCTGACTTTGAATTTTAACGGTTCGACGTGGCGTGGCAACGAAATCGCTGCTCCGATCGGATCGGTTGCGCGTTCGATTTCGTTCCCATAGAGTATCTTCGCGAGGAAAAACGAACGAAGGAAGGGTAAATCGTAGCACGAAGATCGTGATCGCGCGGAATCGCAACGGCAAGAAGCTGGTATTCCGATCGATGACCTATATATCGAATAACTATTTATTTCGCAACTCTGAACGGTTTGAGCTAACGGGCTTCGTTCGAGCCAGAGACAAAGGAGTCGAAGCCGTGTCTATAAAGGCGCGAAAGAACATGGCGAGCGATAGCTTGTTTAACCGATGCACCTTCGAGTGAAACACTCGGTGTCGTAGAAAAGGGAATTTTTAATGAAAGAACGTCGAAATGGAAAGATCGTTGGGTCGAAGTTTGACCGACAAGAGATTGTCCGTTGTCTCGTCTCGAGTTGGCTCGGCACGATTCCGTTTCAAGCTTCTTCTCTCTTCCGTTCTCTCGCGTTCTCTCGTTCGGTGTTCGAGGGGGCTGTACTGCCGCGGACACGTAGATTCTATCTTACCATTCAGCCGCCTAGGTAATAAAACTCTCGCGTCCATTATTTACTTGCATTATCGTTACTTTACGCCCACGTGGACGCGCCACGTATTTATGGCGAAATTATTCAACGTTATTTCGTGGATATGAATAACGCGCGAGATACGGCCCACCGATAGACATATAATTCGCAAAATCTTCGACGAGTCCAGGGAAGGGGACGCTCGGTTTCGCG